TTCGACTCTTCGTAAATTTTCTCTACGAACAGTGAGCGGATCTCATTATAAGCGAGTATTTATTAAGTCTAACGCTCTGACTATCTGCTGTTTGGCAGGGTCCTTACACTAGACCGTACCAAAGGAGGGATATGGAGTACCTCAGCAATCAGATTCGCGAGATTTAGTGGCACTACGCTCACAAGATCTACTCCGGAAAAGGAAAAGGATCTCGGCACTTGATTATCTCTTGGCACTGGCCAAGACGTTGTTAAAAATAACCTAGATTGAAAAGGTGTGTGGCGAAATGGAGCTACTCTTAGGTGGGCCCTGTCAGAGGCCGATTGTATCGAGGTTAGACGGGATTGTGGGGCCACCCAGGGCAGCATACCATGCAGGGCGAAAGTCGGGGTGACATCAACCTTTGATTATTGACTTCTCTCCTTCTTGAGCCTGCTGTTGGTCCTTTGTTCAACACCACGTAGCCGGATGGTTCACGACGTCGCGACTTTGCTGTTGGCGATGCCTGAGGCCCATGGGGTGACCATAGTTCCACCAAAGGTTGACGGGGAGAGCTTGTGGGTCGGCGTGGGTGGTGTGACTGGAGCCGTGATGTATTGGCTGGCCGTTTTCTTAGTGGTGACGCGATGCCACTACCTTAGCCCCATTCTCCAGGGGTTCCAGGCACCACGAAACACTGACTACTTGGCACGAACTCCTCCGTTCGGGTGATTGAGAACCCTGCCCAAGGTCCCGAAGTCACGTCCTTCTCTGTCCGTTCTCGACTCGATCACGAACCAGCGCAGCTTGCTCCCTGCCACCACGACAGCTCGAACGGCGTGCAAGCAGGCCAGAATTCTGGACTCCAACAGCAATCACGGCCCACTTAGTGTGTCAGTGTCTTCTCCCATATATGGGATGGTTGTGCCACCATCTGACTGCAACCTCCAGTGCTTGAGCTCACCTTCACTCCATTTTCAGTCCCAACTATAGGAGATGGTGGTCACTCAAAAAATGGAAGACCGGTCGGAAGAACCGCTGCTGGCAGGCTTTATCAAGTCTCGACGATCGCTCGGGCAGATGTCGACCTGTTCTTCGTCCGTACAGGTCTACCGCGAGTTCGGCCTGGTCTCTCGTTCAAGATTGTGCCCCCATTTTGTTCTCTTGGAAGGAGAGAGGAAGAACAGCAGGTGAGAGCAGCGACTCGCGACTCCGATTCGCTGGCGCGGATTCGTCCTCTGATAGGTCTCCCGGTGGTTTGTGCCTCGCGCAGGAGTGCAATCCTCGTGATCTCAAGCGTGCCTGCCGCCGTCTGCGAGACTCGTCTTGCCGCCTGATGGCCATCAAATGGAGAGAGGAGGACCTCAAGCTCATCCGCGAGGTGCTCCAGTCTCGACCTGGCACTAAGAAGTCCGCGCAGCACACCGAGATCATTCGGCGCCTGCGAGCCCGTAATCCGACCATCCTGGACTCATCCATCAGACAGAAATGCGATGAGATCCGCCAGGAACTGACACCATCTCGTCGGCCGACTCGAGCTTTGGCCCCGCGACCTCCAGCCTCGAACAATCACATCCGGGCCAGCCCTCCCGGGGCAACAGGAGAAGGCTCAGCCCTTCCCACGCCGGTCGCCTCGCGACCCACGGGGGAGGCGACCACGCTGGAAGGGCTCGGCAATGCCTCTCACGCCCCTCCGGGCATGGTCCTCCCCAGCCCGCAAGTATCCGACGAGACGGCCGTGACGACGTGGGAGCACGTGCAACAGCAACCCGAAGGTACCCTCACGGACATGATTGAGTAAGTTGGTACCACCCACGCCCTGTTACGTCGCGCGTGCGCAAGTCGCCACGGGACGAACCTTCCCGCACTGCCCTCCTTTGTTCATCCCAGCGGCGACTGACTCTAGCCGCACCAGGGTCGCCCCACCGGGCAATCTCTACACGTGGTCCGATTTTGGGGACATACTCGCACCGTTCTCCCCCCCTCAGGCGAGTGAGAGAGACTATGTGGAACAACCCATCACGGGGCAACCCGATCCGATGTTTGACGCGGACGCACCCCTCCAAGCCTCCTCCAACTTGTCATTCTCCATGGTCGACCACTCGATGACACTGCAAGACGCCACCGTCGCTCACGGTGCGGCCGCGCGGCCGGCGGAGGCGTCGTCTGAGCGGCGGCCGTCGATGTTCCCGACAGGTACCGACCAGGTGGGAGCTTCGGTGGAACGCGAAACCCGGTCGTCGCCACGAGCCCAGGGCCGGGTCGAGCACGGTCGGTCAGTGGTCCACCCCCATGTACCGGCCGGACTGGATCTGCTCGCGCCCGCGGGACGGGACCTGCAGAAGTTTCCGGAAATCCTGCAATTGGCAGCCAACCATTTCGTAGAGATGCAGTCACGCTTACAAAGTTCGGTCTCGGACAAGGAAAGATGTGACGCCCAACTACGGCAGCAGACGGAAGAGCTGAGGCAGCTGAAGCAGGACGACCGCGCTCGAAGGGAGAAATTGGAACGGTTACCCCGGTGCTGCAACGAGGGGTCGAGCTTCTCCGCGCAGGCGGAGTGTAAGACCCTCATCTGCGACGATTGCCTGAAGCCGTACTTGGGCGAAACCCCAAACCGACTGAAGATGACCTATTCCAGCCTGCAACGGTGTCCCTGGTGTGGGTCTCACAACCTCTGCCTCTGGCCGACCGTCGAGCCTTATAAGCTCCAGCCACGGAATCAGTAGCCATCCAGGTAGCGACCATCCGTGCCTCTGAGCCACCAACTCGGACCTTTTCAGGTGGAAGGCCTACTTTGCGGTGTGAATCTGGAGGACTAGGGGGACCGCATTGTGGTGGGCAGCCGACTGGTCGAGTTCAGCACGCGCAACATTGGGGGGGGCCACTGAGGGCAGGCCCCTAGTTAAGCACGAATAATGTGTAGACTATCTTGTAGAGAACTGTCGACTACGATTGCTCTGCCATTCAAACGATCCGATGGCACTGAACACACCCGCTGTTTTTTTTCTTGAACGGAATGAGTGGGCGAGAGCTATCGTGACGAGTCGGCGGGTGTGGCCATATCTGTGCAGTACCAACTCACGCATAAAGTCAGCCCTAGGCGACATTAGTCGTAAGGAGCTAGCGTCGGATAGCCATTTTTCTGCGCAACCCCTGTCGTGAGCCTGAGGCGAACGAAACCTCACCTCTCGCCATTTAGCCGCCCAAACGAGACAACCCCCGAGCAGACGCACTCCCCTGTGCCGAAGCCAATCCCGCCACAGGCTCTAGCCAGGACGGAGACCAAGAACTGCAGCCCCGATGCAAGGAAGCGGGACTGGCTGGCCAACCTTGCTCGGACCCTGGTCGGCTTCGGGGCATGTCGCACACACCTTGGATCAGGTGATCAACCGTTCAAGCCACTCGTCTCTTCACGACCTACTGTAATCAAGTCGTCGTACATATACTGTAGCGTCGTTTGGTTGAGAACAAATCAAGGATTCCGAGCGACAATGGTTTGGCCTTTGCCGCGCGCCCGCTCCCCACTCCTCGCAAATCTACCAGACGGACAGAATGACACACACATGAACACAACCTGGTCAATCTTTAATTGGCCTGCCTGGGATCATGATTTACGTCGCCCCTTGGCCCGGCCACGACCCAGAATGATGAGACTTTGACGTAAGGGTATTGATTAACAACTTTGCCGCCGAAGACGACGGTCCAGTGACTCTCCATCTTTCTCGTCCCCTCTTCCCTCGTACATCACGTTGCTCTCCGTCTTCGTCGGCTCGCAGGTCGAAGTTTTCCAGATCTCAAAAGGTCCAGCATCGTCCGTTGGAGTCGTCTCAATGGAGAAAAGAACCCCGATCTACGCACTAGGCGAGAGAGGCCGCAAGAGGAAGTCGGAACCTTGGTCCCAAGACGAAAAAAGCGCCCTATTCGAGGAGTGGCTCACCGGTCAGAAATTGAGCGGTCGTTTTAATGACCGTACGGAGGCAGCGAAGACACAGATGCGCCATCGGCTCATGCGCGATTGTCTCGAGGGCAAGTACAAACTACAATTTGGCACTCCCCAGGCGTCGCCCGTCGGGACCGTCGATCCGTCGTCCCAACGTGACCCTCAGATCATGATCCCTGACGCCACCTGGCCAAACGACCTCGATCGGCCGGTAGTTGCTTGGGCGGGCGACAGCGCCCTGGATCAGGCATGGCATGGCCAGTCGATCGGTGTCCCAGCTGGTCAGACATCGCAGCTCTCCTGTGCTTCCTGTCTCACACATGATTTCTCCAAGCACGGTTGGCATGCACCCTGGTGCTTCCGGGGGACGGGGCACCCGGATTTGGCGGTCCAGTCCAGGTCACCGGCGACCGGCTCTTGGACCCGCGAGGCGGAGATGGACTCGTTCTCGATGACGAGGCTGGGCGGTGGCTGGGTGCACCACGAGCACGGTCACACCTCGCATCAACACACGGTGCCCCGAGGGTGAAGTGGAGGAGCAGGCGGTCCAGTGAGCCCAGCGGAAAGCGGAAAGCGGAAAGCGACGGCCGTTGGTGCAGAGGGTTTTTGCTTGTTTCAGTGGTGGCAACGTCCTCGACATCCCGGGCGCGCATTTGTGAGGCGCATCGAGTGGCTTTACATCTCCGGCAAGATGGCTAAAGTGATGTGCGAAAATCGATGTCCTAAGGATATACAAAGAATCCTGCGATTGTAAGATAGCGCGGCACTACCGATTACGCTTACCTGAAATCAGAATCAGCCAAGGTTTTCAGTGCCAATAGATAGCCATATTAATCTACGATTTTTACAGCTATGAAATTCTCGGACAAAATTCCTGTCGTCATTTCATTTTCAAACTATCTAAATATAGCTTTGGCGGAGTTGTCGCTAAGCACCACCCTGCGATGCGCTAAATTCCTTTCATATCTGAGTGGATGGGGCTTCGGGATGTATAGCACGTTTGTACGCAACACGAGTCTCATAACCTGTTCCGCTATCACTCCTGCTTCGCCCCAACTAAGATAAAAATCGTCTAGATATGAGAGATTGCTCGACTTGTACGGTCAAGAACCGGCCGTGCGTTTTTGGAGATGACTGGGAATCCATGCCAGACATGCAAAGAAACTGACGAAAGCCAATGTGCTGGTGTTCTGGATTTGTCACGGATAGTGCAGGCCAACGTCGAACTGAAAAGGTCAAAAAATGAAGCGATGCAGCTCCGGACACGAATGGGGCAAGATGTTCAACTTCTCACAACATTGAACGAGAGCTTTACTGCAAAAAAAGCCAGCCTCTCTGCCGCAACGTCCTCCATGGCAGATGCAGATATTGAGCTTCTCCGATCAGAAATTCAGCGCCTAGCCGTGAATGGGAAACAAGTTGTTGAGCATTGGTTCAATTTTCCTGGCGCAACTTGGCGTTGATCGTATTTACTTTGTTCCTGACAAATGGAATCGATTGAATTGCCTAGGTGGGCTTGGATGTTTGGTACTGTAAAAAGACTTAAGTTAACTTCTATATTCTGTGACTTATGCACTCTAAGTTAGCTCAACTTTTCAGTCAATTCTGAATACTCCTACAGCACCCTAGAAAAAAGATTCATCCTCAGGAAGGCTCAAGAGCAAATAGTGCAGACATGAGATTTCCAGCGGGCTTTTACTCCTCAACCTCCTGTGGCAATGTCGAGTCGTGGGATGGGCGAAGCTGCCCCGTGGGCCTCCAAGGAGGAATCTTTGTGACAGCACGGCAGGGTAGGTGACTCGAACCGACGACGATGTCGGGTAAAAGGCTCGGAGTGATACCAATCGCCAGTATCCACACCCCTTCGCGCCATCTGTCTCTCAAATCTGTCTCCAACGGTAACCTCTTCAAGGTGAGGCGCCAAGATGCTCGAACCGCCAATTCTGCTTGCTTAAAAGTCGCCCTGATGAAGTGGCGAGGGCACGGCGGGGTACATCAACGCACATTGAGCTTGCGGTCAGGGTGGGTAATATGCGTGGGGCCCTTCCTTCGCTAGGGAGCACGAGAGGAATGCATAAAGAAAATCACGAAACCTCTCTCCTTTGGTCAACCCATTACCGTATACACCACGCTCAGATCTGGTGGGCTTAGGCAACATCAAGGCCGTCGAAGACCGGACAAACATGCCGCGCAGCGACGCGCCAGAGTAGAAACTGCTGTGCAAACAAAGGGTGAGCTTTGGGTCGCTGCCTCATGACTCCTTCGACCGTGTACGACCAGGGTTTGCCCAAGGCGGTGAAGTGCAGGATGTAAACATTTTCGTTGAAGATTGAGGTCAAGGGATCAACAACTCCGGGATCATATGGGATAAGCGCCTCAGAATTGCCGAAGGCTGTCTGCGTATTCACCGTCGAAGTAGTGGAGGTCCCGATCATTTGAGTCCGAGTCCCCTCGAGTGCGCTGCCACCCCGTGGAGAGCTAGGTTCATCTGGGACTGTCGTGTTCATGACACTATGCCTATCCGGAGGCTCTTCAGGCGATACCCTCCGATACCGGGACCACACCGGAAGTTCATTTGTTTCCCAGTGACTGTTCAAGGTGACGTAGTTACCGGGTAGGAGCATGATTTCACGCCGGAACATCGAATTGATCAGATCCATGTCATACTGGTCTTGCATGACGCTCGCGAGGGAGGAATTCATCCTCTCCCACAACGGCTCCGAGGGGGACACCATGATCATGGCGGACGTGGCGACGGGTTCATCGGTCAACCAATAGGCATGTGCCCCGGCCACCTCAACACCTGGCGGTATCTGGGTGAAGATCTCGTCCAGCGGCCTGACCAGCTTGAGCAGGACATCGCGGTAGTATGGGGCACCGCCTACGGCCAGCGGCGGCGGCGCGTGCTCGATAACGGTGACGTCATACCGCTCCTTTGCCGTTTCCTTGAAGGCCTGTGACACGGCCGTAGTCGTGAGGAGATAGATGGGAAACTTGGTGTGGAACAGAAAGCAGAGACGATGGATGTTGACCAATGCCGAGCAGGCGTAATTGTCACTGGTAGCGTAGAAGGCGTACCCAAAATGATCGGTCCCCTGCGGTCGGTTTCTGTAGACAGCCAACAAATATATGGAACGAATGATCAACAGGAGCGATATCATCGTCAACCCCCGGCTGAGACGCACTGACATGTACATCTTAACCTACAGCAACAAGGTACAGTAAAGAAGGAACGCAGGAAGGTGAAGGAGCAGGCGATATACACGACTCTACGTACAGTAAACCCGCGCCGGCGGGCATCAAACCCATGTTAGAGGAAGGAGTATTATCATTGGTCAGAGTGAGCCTTAGTTTTCAGGCAAATACCGACCGATGATTGGTTCCTTTTTGACTGAACGCGCATCCGACCAGATATTTCCAGCTGAGAAACACCATTGCTCCACTGTGGCTATTTCAAAGACTTTTCTGTCTAGACAGTAAATTTAGCTCCTACAGTAGGCAGATTCCGAAAATTTAGACTAAGTTCATCAAGCTCACCGCCAGCCCTGTCCCTTTTTGAAGCCATCACGTGGGACTTGGCGCCGAACCTAAAGTCCAAACCGAAAAGTAAATTAACTTCTAACTCCTGCCCTACTAAACTGTCATTTCCGCGATTAATTATGCAGTTCGCTATAGCCGTTTTCAATTGCACCATTTCCTGCAGGGAGCTAGTCAAGAACTTGTCAAAATGTCATTACTCTTCTGTCGAAGGGTTTGTGGGAGACTCAGCCTGACACGAGACCCAGCATATAGTAGCGCGAATCACAACGCGCCACGTTCTGCACACCTGGAGAAAACGCTACGAATCGAGAACAGACCGATCCAGGTCATTAGAGTGAGGGGTGATGAGCATCTCATCGGCTGGTGATTTTCTCCCAGTGTGCTCCTTTGGCACGTCTTCAGTAAGTGTCTCGTCCTGAAGGAAAGGCTCATTCACAGGCCTCGTCACAAGCACACTACCTCCTAGTTCTACTTCTTTCTCTGCCATCCTCTTGATTTTCTTGTGATCTTCGTACGGTATGGTTGTTCAAACATCAAACGCTTATCAGCTAGTTTACTCATCTTTATCACTTGAGACAGCACTGGACGGCTAGGATCTGTCGTCGTCGAGCACCATGAACACGTACGATGTCTCAGACTCCCCAAGGTTCATACAGCTCTTGCTCAAGCAGAAACAAAATCTTCAAGATGCCCAATCTCGCAAAGGCCAGCGCCCTCGAGGGATAAAGTCCCGGGAAGAACTCATACTACAGTTCAGGTTTCGACTTATGAAGCAGGGTAAAGCTAACTCCAACATTAACCTGCGATCTTCATTTATCCCTCCGGCATATAGTCCATGCATCAGTCCCTCCTATGACCTAACGAAAGTCATGATCGAAGACCTTCTCCTCGAAACTCATCATAGGGGCACCTACCTTCTACTGAGGTCAATTACACCGCCAGATAGAATGACTGCCGTCATGGCCATTGTGGAAGATGAGAATAAAGATGTTCTCATGTTGCAGCTGTACCATCAAGAGGAGGAGAATGAGCGCGCTACGGAAGACATTCTCGGAGAAGGAACAGTTCTGATTGTAAGAGAGCCATACCTCAAGTTGATGTCCGATGGAGATCATGGGATTCGAATTGATCACCTCTCTGATGTCCTACATCTTCCAATGTATGATGAGCGTATCCCTAGCTGTTGGCGGCCAAGATTTGCAGAGCATGACATTCCTGTCAATGCTTGGAAGACGAAGGGAAATGAATACTTCAACAAATCCAAGTATCACTCTGCCATTGCACAGTAAGTCTTCGGTGAATTTCTCCACATATATTGAACTTATAATCGCGAAAGCTACACCAAGGCCCTCGGCTGTTCTCCAACAATGGAAGAGGCCCACACCCTCAGACTCAACCGCTCTCTTGCTTTTATCAAGGCAAAGCAGTTCGATGCTGCACTCTCCGATCTGGAATCCGCGTCAGCCAGTCTGAAGCCGACCGAGAAAGCTCTGAGCCGTAAATCACTAGCACTTTATAGTCTCGAGAGATATCGAGAGTGCTGCGAAGCTCTTAAAGTTTTTTGTCTAGAATATCCAAGCAACCTCGCTGCCCAAGGCGAACTGACTCGATCCGTTAACCGACTCGCGGAGCAAGAATATGGTAGGTACCGGTTTAAGCAACTATACATGGAGGCTTCCAAACTTCGCCCACCGCATTTGGACCATTCCACATATGTTGGTCCGGTGTCTGTCAGAAATTCTGGTTCCCGAGGACGCGGCCTTTTCACGACAGAAGCGGTCAAAGCCGGCGACCTTCTTTTGTGTGAGAAGGCATTTGCCCATGCCTTTGTCGACAATGACAAGGAGGCGGCCGATGCGGATGTGACCATACTGATCAACGCAGAAACTGACTCCATTACCATGGGATCGCAGGCAGAACTCATCAGAATGATTGTCCAGAAGCTTTACCGGAACCCCTCTTTGGCCTCAGTCATCACTGATCTCCATCACGGCTCGTACAAGCCTGTCGATGTTTCTAGTGTCGACGGTATACCAATAGTTGATACGTAAGAAACCCATCATCTTCTGGCTAATGCGCCAATCCTGACCCTTTATCCCAGATTCCTTGTCGAGCGTGTCATCTCCCTGAACTGCTTCGGCTGTCCCCTCTCATCTCGCGAGTCCTATCTGCGTGCTGTGGATGATGAGACGAGCCAAAAGACGAAAGCCAACGAAGAAAAGTTCCACTCTTGTGGCATCTGGCCCATGGCATCGTATATAAACCACTGTTGCTACAGTAACGCCCGACGGACTTTTATTGGTGACATGATGATGGTCCGTGCTACGAGGGACCTCGCACCTGACACTGAGATCACATTCTGGTATCAGATGCCCGTTGCCAATAATTATGACGAACGCCAGAAGAAGTTTCGGCAGTGGAGCTTTATGTGCGACTGCAGCATGTGCAAAGACGACCAGACCACGAAGAAGAGCGTCTCAGCTAAAAGAAAGAGCCTGAGGGCTGATATTCTGAAATGTTTTCAGTCGCGCAAAAGACCGGATGCAGCCGAGATCGAGACCCTCCTCACCACGATGGCGGATACGTATAGTCGACCGGCTTTTGATGTACCTCGCCTAAGCATTTGGGACCCCCAGCTAGTTCTTGCAAAGATGTACATGAAGCATATGCGCCCAGCCAAAGCTATAGACTCGGCGCTAAGAGCTCTGTCATCTCTTGGTTATGTCATTGATGGTGGGCATCTGCCGCGCAACTCGCTCACGCCGATGGTGATCAAGCAATGGGGATTAATGATGGACCATCTCATTGAGTGCTGGATGCTTCTTTCCAGTGCCTATCATTTCGTGGCACCTGATCTGGTGATCCAAGCAGAGGAGTATGCCAGAATATCGTACAAGATCTGTGTTGGTGAAGATGAGACATTTGACGAGACATATGGGAAGCTATCACAGGGTCGAACTTGAATAGATCGCGGTAAATGTATTGGCAGCAAACTTCTTTTTTTACAGTACCCTTGGCGGATACCACACCCATTTCTTTGGTGGTTCAAAAATAACAGTGGCATTGCGTCATGAGGACAAAGTCTTGCCAGTGTAAAGGATCGCCATGTGGAGCCCGAAATAATATAATATATATAGGCCCGCGCGACTGAGGATGCCACCACGGATAGAGGAGGTTCCGGTCCCAGGAATAACGAGTACGGTAGAATCAGGACGGATACAAAGGCTCCTGGTTTGAGGCGGAGGACTGCCTAACCAATGCAAGGGACGGTTATCGGGATATCGTTGTTCCGTTACGCTAGTCCTAATTAGGAGACATACGTATAGTAGCAGCACAGGCCACGGAAAAATACAGGTAAGAGTATAACAAACTCGTCGAACGAGATGTCGTGATGGGTTGCCCTATGGTTAGAGAGTCAGGGATGTAATTTACCTGAGCCTCGGAGTGCTAGAATCTGTTCATCATGCGTCGATCCACGCTCTCGTACTGTACCAACATCGTCAGCATTCTCATTGGGACGTCAGCCACCAGGGGGGAGAGCATTATCCGCGGGCAACTCCGACAGCAACTCGCCCACGGTTCACGTGGCAAGAGATCCACTTTCGTCCCCCCGTGTACTTGTTGAAGCAACCAATCCGTAAACCTGGAGGCAATCACGGTCATTTAGCCCAAAGTTCGTCCCCGTAACGTGCGGAGCTTGCGTGGACCGATCGCACCAATCCCGTTCTGGACTTTCGTCATTGGTTCACGGAAAGAGCAAACACGAGTCCAGGTGTCCGACGGCGGCTGCACCAATCACAACGATTCGGACCCGTCTCCACGGACGTGGAGGGACTGCCGTGTTATATCTCTCCTCAACCAAGCTAATCGGTCTCGCCATCTCACACGAAATTTCAATCTTTCGCACAAATGCCTAGCCTGTCGACTGCCCGATTTGCGCCACCTCCGTATCCCACGGTCCACGCCCGTCCGGTCCCCCCTCAAGTCTGGATCCTTTTGCTCGCGGCCGCCTTGCTCGTCCTCGGACTGTTTTGCTATTGCGTCAGACGACAGTCCGGTCGCGACGAACGCCTCGAGGCGAGGCAGCCCAGGACCTCCCTCTCTGACGACGGGTCTTGTCGGGAAGGGTCCCTCGGAGAAGATGGATCCCGCGGGGGAGACGGAGGCCACGGCTTCGTCAAGGAAACGTAAGATTGCTGTCTGTCTGGGACGACATCGACGTTGCGAACGACGCGAACGATGCGGAGGAGGCCAAAAGCTGAGGGCAAAGGGGACCGCAGGGGCTCTCGTTAGTCGCCCATCACGCGGAGTTTCTCACAAATCCATAAAGTCAATACATTCCTGTTTCAGATACAGCAGAGATTAAAGATGGGCGATTGGAGTCAAGAATCTCCAAGAACGAAGTCTTACCCACCGACGCTGTGGTAGTACGGAAAACACGGAGGTATTTAATTCTTCTAAGGGTGAGAGGGGGTGGATTCACAGGGCATGGCCGTATACAAGTGCGTTTCGATGTTGGGAAAGCTTACGGTGAACAAATAGAGCGACGGGTTAGTAGCCTCACTTATCATATTAGCCTCCGGGACGTCCGGCGAAACCCCCATCACAGTATACGTACCGACCCAGAGGTCAGAGAGACAAGTTTCATCTATTATATAGCGTAAAGTGGGGCGAGCCAAATTCACGTTTTAGACTCAGGGGATTGTATTGATTTCATTGAGATCTAAGCCCTTATTCGTTTGATGTTTTCCTTTATTCCTATGCTGTATGATGACCCTTTGTAGGAGATTCGTATATCAGTAGTATTACATTACAGTAGTAGATGCGTGAGAGAGCTGCCTCACAGCCCAGCGAAGGTCCTCGAGAAACGGATGGCGCAGTCTTCTCAATCAGTACAGTATTTGGAAATTCCAAGTGACACAAGTGGAGGGAACAACATACTTACAATCTGCTCCCTAGTTCGGCCATCAATGAGAGAAAGGGCTATGGGAGAAGGCAAGTCGGTTTGCGAGAGCTCATCATTGAATCCTCCAGCTCATTCGACGTACTACTGCTCAGTACTTTTCGTCTCATCCTTTTCAATCTGGCGGGATGATTGCATGGCTTCTTGTAGACACTTGGCGGAGTGACGTTGGTTCAGCGGCTCAAAAGCTAACCTCTAATCTCCCTATCCCTCGAATGGTGCAAAGGTCGCGGATGCCAGTACCACTTGAAGAGAAAGTCACCAAACAGTACCGGCCCACTCTGAAGAGATCATCCGAAGATGGAGAGGTAAAGGGGCCCTTGGTGAACGATTGTGGTACTGTCATGAACAAGAACCTCTTCGCGTTAACAGGACAGTAGGACAGGCGGGCCTTGCTGGCTAGGTAGGCCTTCTCAATAACTTTAGGCTTGACTGCGTTGGCACCAAGAATATGACGGATACTAGCGGCTAGGAGAGGGTCTAGGGCCGGTTTCTCAAGCCCCTCGTTGTTGAAGGGCATCATGTTAGACGCATCCCAAGTTTCTTTGACCAATACGTATACGAGCGTGGCGCCTCATACGCATAGACCCATGGCGTCTTGTTCTACACGGTCTGTGACGATCCGCCTTGCAATATGGATACTGGTCTGGATATTTTGCTCCATAAGAGGCGCAGGAGGATAGGAGAGAAATGATATTCTTGCGAGCAGTGTAGGTTATATTACTGTATCATTATCATCATCTTCTTCCTCTTCTTCCTGCACCTGTTGCTCCACTTCGATTGATTGCAATTAGGGGTAGTGGGTAAGTCGGCGCCTGTTCGCATGTCAGTAAAGGCTAGCGGATAGAAGGTCTATTCTCAATCGAAGATTAGACTGTAGAATCAGGACGCGCGGAGAGGAATAGGAGTGCTAATGCCCCGAAGAGGTTCAGGTGATGCTTGAATGGAGAGCTTGACAGGGAGTATTGGGTAGAGAGACTGCTGTGTGGAGGGGCGCTCGAGTAAAGTACTGGGATCGCTGATAATGTCGTCAATCATGTCTGGAAAGGTCTAGGTCTAAGAGAGGTTCAGGGTCTAAGGTACAGTATTAGAGTCAGAGTCAGAGTCAGAGTCAGATTTGGACGCAGAGTCGTCCTGGACCCTACAAGTATAAGTTGTCGTTAGGGATGCTAACTAGCGTCACAATTTCCCTTGGCAGCAGAGAGTCTCGGCCGACATTTTCCACTCGTCCCAACACTCGATATCTTTTCGCTTCCGCATGATATCTCATCCTATCTGATGGTGCCAGAACGTCTCCGAAACGCGTGCACGTGGCGTTCTAGTTCTGTTCATCATCGCCAGAATTACAACCCCGTACCGCGACGCCCCCAGCAGAGCCAAATCCAGTCGGACAAGAAAGGACAATAGGGCGCCATTTATGAGGCCTGTTATTGGGAACTCGTAGAGACAATATATTTGACTCCCTAGCATGCCAGCACCTCTGCAAGGCTCCTATATTCGTCAATCAACATCGATGTCTCGTCGCTCATCACGTCATAGGAGAACCACTCAACCAGTTCCCCCGGCATCAGTAACAGTGGCACAATCAGCCTCGTTCAGCGACACCACCAGCCTAGTTCCCATACAGCCCTCACCATGTTTGGTGATCCCGGCCAAGAGACCGTCTCCCAGCGTGGAACTCCCGGCGCGATCGCCGGCCGTCCCAAATGGTCCGCAGATGAAGATTCTGAAATAGTGCGACTCCGCCGGGCTGGTGCTAAGTGGTCAGAGATCAGTAAATCGCTGCCCGGCCGGAGTGCCATCAGCTGCAGATTGCACTACCGGAACTACCTTGAGAAGCCGAGTAAATTGGACGAAAACGAAAAGGTTAAGTTCGCGACGTTGTACCAAAAGTACGTCGAGAGACATTACACCGAGCCTTGATCAAGACTGTCTACCTTGTGCCCAACCAGCCTTTTGTGACTCCTTTCTAACCACCCTCAACTTAGGTCTCGTGAAATGATGTGGGCTGGAATTGCAGAAGAGATGGAAAGCCCTTGGAGAGCCGTCGAGGCAATGCACGCGCAGATGATTGAAGAGAGGTTGGCTGGCGTTGCGCCCTACTCCCTGCACAACTCATCAAACAGCTATGGCCCGGGCAACATAATTTCTCATTCTCACCTGCAACATGTCGATCCACATTTGCAATGTGACTCCATGCGTCTTGATGTAGCGTATCAAGGGGACTCCCCGTTCCCCATGCCGACAGAGCCACTTGTCATACCAGTCCTCGGATCCTTTTCGCAACCAGTAGCATGACCAACCAAATGCAACATTCCATGACCACAACGAAACTTATGTTACTTTTCTAGCGAGTTTTGGGGATTGCGGGAACGAGAGTGGGTGGGTACTGTACCAATGATATACTTTTCGGAATCTAATTATATTAACTTGTTAAGTTTAGGGGCAGAACCAAGCTTTGAAGAGTAGCGAGAATAGGGATGGAGCTTGGTTCGAAGGCTACTTACGAGAACTCGCAAGCACGACGGCTTTCAATGATATGCCACCACATCTTCGGCGATAGATTGCGATGAATGAGCAAATGCAGAGCGGCTGCGAAGTCTTTTAAGTACGCACCTCCTATTCATATGACTAGCGTGCCACCAATGCCAATCACAGTAAGTGACTATCAAAAGCTTCCGGAACTACAGTACGATGGACAGTAATTATTTCGCTCAGAAGCTGAGGAACTCTCGAGGTAACGTTACATCTCCGCCAGGACACCAGGCCCGGCGAAAGCTCCATCCCGGAGTTCGGCAACCTGGCGCCCCCTTCAGGTGCCGGGTCAAAATATGTGGGCAGTCCAGCGAGCGGTCACCTGACCAAAAGTGGTGAGTCCGTTTGAAGTGATGGTTGGTCACGGTTCTCGACGGCGTTTCATTGGCCCTCCCATTGGTGCTTTTTGATTGGACGCTTTTCAGACCGTCACCTGGAGACACCAATCATGTCTCGACCACACAGATTGGGTCTCCCCGTCGATTCAGCTGAATCTCTCCCCTTGGCATCCTACAAAATGCTGCATCCGGTCCTGCAGATCTGGGGTTCACTCTCGTGGATGGTGACACATAGAACACACTTCCCTGGTTTGACGGTCCGTTTCAGCGCTGGCCGAACGACCTGTATTCGAGAGGAAGGATCATCAACGGCCACATCACGATGTCGAAACAGTCCGGAGGCTCTCTTCCAACCCCTCCTGGACCACCCCCGAGTCGACCCTTACCAGCGATACCGAAGTGAGTCTCAGCCCCTCCGGGAGTCGATTCCTCAAAGGTGAGGTCGGTGGACATATCAAAGGCGTCCCTGCGGCCATGGGAGGGCTGGTGCAGCGAGACGAGGAGCCTGAGCCAATTCTCTCGGTCGTTTCCCTTCTCTCGCAGTCCCTTTCAATCAGGACTTTCGGCACAGTGGTTTGACGTTGATTCGAGACACGATGGGGAGGGCACGGGTGTCTGTATACCTCTCAGATGCTGTGATAGAAGGCTCAGCTAGTTGCTGTAACATTCATACGGCACTATGGGATATTCCGAATGCTCTGAAGTTGTAGGGAAGTGTTACGAACTAAAGGTCATAAACGTGATCGTAGCACGTGGAAGCTATTTTCGGTTATATCCTGGTGTTTTGGTACCCGCTGTGATGACTTCAGGCATCGATTCTAGCCTTTCACTGTCACGTCGTCCAACATCGGGGCGACGAACTGGTCCTCGACGTCCAGAGGAAGCCTTCGAGCCCGAGCCCTTGTATCAGAAAACGACAGAATAGATTTTGAGCTCCATGGGCTGGGGCGGAGACCGGGCAACTTGGTCGGATTAATCTGTGATCTGGGGAACGACCGATAGCCAAAAAATCAGTCACCCCAGGGCCCACGCCGAAGGTGTTGACCTGGGCCAAGAGATCGACCGGTGCCTTCCCTTACTCCTCGCAGAAACCGACCACAGTCAACCTCTGTGAGACCGATTTGGATTCCGACGGCATCGTGGTTATCAGAATCGTCAGCGAAAGCAGGTAAAGACAAACTGCCATCGCTATCGCTATCGTCTTTGTCGTCTTCGGCCCTGGCTCTCTGCCTGACTAGGACGGTATTCCGTGTGAACGAGAATGCCCATCGCATCAACCCTCGGACGCGTTGTGAGTCATCGGCCAAAATGCTTTCGCTGTGACCTGCCGAGTGGTGGATGGAGCTGGTAGTCCACATGTTTCCCAGTGTCCATGCCGTTGTTGTCAACATTTTCTACTGTTCGATTCCCGGAGAACAAATGTGATTACTGTTAATACATTTCATACAGTCGTTTTCAATTGCGGCTTCGCATCTATACGTACACAAAATATTTAAGTCACACCATTTACTCCACTCACACTCCATAATAGTCCTTTTATCAAGTAAGCGCACAAAACCCGCTCTGCCAATCGGTTAACTGCATTCACCGGGTCACGTGTAGTATTTTACAGAGCAGTACTGGGGACAGTATGGCTGAAACTGATGGTTTCCGACACGAGCTAATAGCAGCAAGAGCATTCATCTGTGACGCTACCATAACTTTATGCGTGCCTCAGGAAGAGACTCCTTTGGATGGACAACCCTTTCTTGCGCGCCCAACAACATCTACGGAATTGTAATAACCCTACCAGAAGAGGGAGTTGTAGGAAAAATATTTCGAGAGAGGATTGCAGATTATCACTATATCTGAGAGTTCTCAATTGCCAAGTTTTACCATATGCACCTTCAAATCATTTACGAAGCTGTCCACTTTATCCTTAAACTCGACAGTAGAGCCATCAAGGACATCCATGCTGACTTGTTTGTCGACGAAGACGGCAAAGTGTAGGCGAGCTTGTCGATCCAGCTTTCTGTCTTCTCGCTGTGCTTTTGTCCTATTCATAAATGGAAGAGTCGAGAAGTAGTCCAAGTCCTTCGTCTCGGTCGCATCGTATGTGGTGGCCTCACCCAAAATTTGGCATGAATTATCTGCAAAGTACTTCTTTATAGGAACAAGAACCTCTTGAAATCCATATTGGCAGCCGGCTGTGTCGAGAATCCATGCCTCAGCAGCGAAATGTCGTCCTACTTTTAACACTGTGTGTGGTGTATCGCTGGAGTCTGGACCGGGAACGAGCTTTGTTGGAATCAACGGCTTTCCAATATGGAGGTCTAGTACTTCGACGGTCGAGGCGATCCCTACTGAATGTCAGTCCTAGCTTACCTAAGTCATAGGTCTATCTTACCTTTAAGTAGCTTCCGGGTTAGGCGACCTAATAGTGCCATAGCTAATGTGCATTGGTTATTCGCAAGAGCTGCCTCTTTATGATTGATATTTGTGGTGAGGTGATCTGGAAAGAGCCTACGTTGTGATCGAGCAGTGATAGATCTTTGATGTTGATGAAGGTAGAGGACTCCATCTTGCAACTCAATTTTTGTCAGGTCGACATCGTACATGACCTCTCTGTATGTCAATAGGGCGGCCTTGAGTATTTTGGCTGTGCGAAGCAGCTTTTTTCGTTGTCCTAGATCGCGGCAGTATGCCTTATGATTTGGCCAGTGTTCTCTCTGGCATTCGCGGTTGCAGTAAACAATATCGACCGAATCTCCAGGCTCGTACTCTGGCGCGTCCATACAGCGAGTGCACTTCAGTGATGCGTCCGTTCCACAATTGGCACACTTTGCGAGATATACTGGTGCCATTTCGAGCGGCAAAATGGTATCTGTACGTAGTTGCCAGCGATAGGGGCAGAATCGTGACCTGCGATCTGTAATGTGTGATCGGAGCGGATGAATGCTGCTAAATCTTAGGATCGTTTTGTTGTCTTGGAGGATAGCGCCCAAGTAGTAGCTCGGAGGAGAGTCGTGCATCAGGCCGAAATTCAGGCAGCCGTCGCCCAATCACCTCGACCCCGTCATCGCTGGCATGCAGAGACGACTGTCGCCACAAGGTGAATGATAAAACATCGGATGCAGGCTTTGGACACAGCATTATCAAGTGCGTACCGTGTGATTGATGCTGCAGGTCAATCTACAGATCAGTTTCTCTTGCTCCGTCTAATTTCGTAGCAACGTAGTTATCTTGATGTATCCGAGCCTCACAGACATAATCCGCCTTCGATGCCCAGCGGCCATGAGAAATCGTGAGGTTCTCCCTCGGAAGACTGCTCTCGTCACTGCAATCCTTGATGACCGAACGTGGCGCATTTTGATTCGCGCTGCGCTATGCAGGGTATTTGGGTCAATGGAGCAAGTCCGAAATGCCGTGACACTTTTCTCGGAAGGAGGTCGATGTATCAGGAATCTCTTGCCACTTTTAGAGTTGGCCACCACGAACACGTCATTGTATGCTAGTGTAAGATACAGCAGGTGACTTAAATAGAGTTCTTGCTGATTGGCGACACAAAATAGAGTGCACCATATAAAGCCTATATACTAGGCAACACGGATCAAATGTGGGACCCGAATTTTTTTTGAGTGTGTAGACCCGAAGCTGCAATTGAAAACCTCTGTAACTTATATTACAGTACACACATTTTCAATGGCGGCTTCGCTACTTAAAAGTGGCAGGAGTTTGCGCCTACGACGCCACGCAGTAGAGGTCAATTCCTAATTCCTCTTCACACTTTACTTAAATGTAGATGCCTGGGGGTCTTGGTGGATCGACATGTGGAGCTCAAATAATTTCAAGCCAGTATAAGCAGACACGAAGCCGCAATTAAAACGTCTGTTGATTCTAGAGTGTAGTAATGATGGGTCATTCGAGGCTCATCCTAGATGCCCGTATAATGTCTTGACTACTTGGGTGTCTCCGTCTGAATTGTAGAGCGATTTGGTATAATGTATCGACTTTGTCTCTTTGGGAATCCGACCCATCTTCGCCATGCAACACGCCCAGTAGTAGCACCGTACCGTTTTAATAGATTTAGAATTGCGAACGATGCACCTTGGCTTTCTGCGAAATCAAGTGGAGATTTCATATCTTGATCGAAAGTTGAGTGAGGTGCTCTTCTCTCAAAGAGAAGTTTAATACACTGAGGATTGGACTGAACAGCATATGTAATGTAAGATAGATCTGCCTTTCTTATCCACTGCCGAGATATCAGCACCTTCTGCTAGAAAATGTTCAACTTGTGCTGTCTAACCATTCTTAGCTGCATAGAATAGGCAGGTCTGTTCGTCTAAATCTCGGTCGAGGACCGAAGCACCATTTCGAATAAGTTCTTTCACGACTTTTTGGTGCCCCCCTTTCCCGGCTAGCATCAGCGCAGTTTGGCGGTAAGGTCCCACGGGTGGAAATATCCGTGCCTGATTCCAGTAGTTGTTGGACTTTTAGAAGATCACCTTTCGATGCGGCCCTTAAGAGAAGAGATCCGGGATCCATAGAAGTGAATGGCGTCCTGCAAGTTGGGCAGTGATCGGTGTTAACGACTACGCATTGTAGATATTCTTTGTGGAGTAAGTGAGGACATGCGCATTTAAATTTACGGGCCAGCCCTTGGAGTTGGAACCATTCGTAGCATATGAAGCACTGAGCGGCCTCGGTAACTTGAAATTCAACTGTAACATCACCCATCTCCCCAGCAGGCGAAGCCGCGATAATTTCGTGGTGTCGGTGTAGAAGAAAACCTAAGATGCCGCCACGTGGTCGACCTACGACCATTCAGGCACTAGCACCAGCACTAAATAACTTCGCTTTACCTTCTAACCAAACGAGGGTCACGTTGGTTGGCAATAGATAAAATCCCAAAATTTGGTCGGTTCAAGCCTCTGCGACATTGCGACATAGAGACAAATTCTTGCCACTATTAACTGATCCTAGGAGCCACGAGTTTTAGTTGTATTAATATCGGTACACGTCTTGTAAAATTCGAGACTCTCTCGGCATTTTAGTTAAGCCGATTGGTGCAATATGCATCACACTTTAGGGTTTCTCTGGGCCTTTGTGGATTGAAATGTGGAGCTCAAAATAATTTTAAGTATAAGCAGACCCGAGGCCGCAATTGAAAACGTGTGTATATTATTTTCCACAGTATTTGCTAGTGAATCAGTCCGCTTGAAGACCTATCTTTCATACTCTAGCTGTGACCCTCGTCCCACTTTGTCATTTCAAGCCCTCCCCGTTTCATCCTGGCGAGAGTGTGACGAAGTTTTGGGGAGCAGCACCTCTAATTGCTGGACACGTTCATCGTCGGCATGATTTCCGCCAAAGCCCACGCGCGCCCTTGGCTATTACCATAGAGTTCGAGGTCGATCCTCCGTAAAATTAACGCATCAGTGCGCCGCGCCTTTCCCTTTAAGAGCTAGATTAACGACTTTTGTTTTTTTGCCGGCTCACAATAAACCTAATTCGGTTGTGGTATCTCTAAATTTGGTAAGTACCGTAACAAACATCCTTGCCGGACTAGTCTCAAGCGTAAGAGGCCTCTCCACTTGTTGCCCAAGGCGTACCTTATCATCCGGCCGGCCAAGCTTGGGCATTACGGACGCCTTACCGGATCCCGTAGTGTGTATGCATAGGAAAACGTGTTAGGTCACGTCCTCGATCGCCTTGAAATTGCATTGCCGACGGTTTTATCCATCCATGGAGTCCCGTCGAGTATGAGCTCGGCTTCCATGGGCGAGCAGTGATATTGACGAAGGCGAAACGGCAGATGATGACGACGAAACACAAGACTGTAAAAAATCCCTTCCCGTCACACAGCGGGAGAAGAATGCGACGGTGGGGCACACGACCCGGGTCGCGCCAATATTTGCACGCACCCTTCGCTCTCGGAGGAAGAGGGATGCGTTGACATTGAAGAAGTATCACCCTTACATGTCACCGTCAAACAGGAGCTGGAGAATGTCTGCTTGCCTGTCGATCGCGTTGGCCTTCACCTCGCCGACCTTTCCGCCTTGGGTACGTAGTCGGTACAGGTAGACGTCCGTGGCTTTCTGGTTAAGGCGGCGGAGGCGACACGCGACCTGGAACTGCGTGTCCGCGTTCGGCATGATGTCGACCTGCACCTGATATGCGCACTCGAGGAGATTGAGGCCGACGCCGGCGCAGCCACTAGAGGCAACAAAGCAGTCCGTGTTGCGATAATCATCCGGGATAGGAATCCCATCGTCGTCGTTCGATCTCCGGTTGAACCCATGCACGATCTGTCCGCGTTTTCGCATGTTCAAACCGGCATGGACGTAGGCAACTCGCTTCTGGAGTTTGTACGCGCAAAAGAGGTTGACACACCACGCGATGAACGGGTTGTTCGAGAAGAAAGCGACCTTCGGGATCTGGTTTCGTCCATCACGAAGCTTGGACAACTGCTTGAAAAACTTCTCGATCCAGGCAAATCTCCCGGTGGCCGGACCATCGACGATCGCTTCGTAAAAAACGGATGAGGTCGGTTTGTGAATCCAGCCTTCCTTTATAAGCGTCATATATGTGGGCCTGTACTGTGGGACCTGGAGGAGACGTTTCGTGAGCTGTGGCGCAAATTCGTAGATGTCCTGCTGTTGAGCCGCCTGGCAGAGGTCCCACAAGTGGATGGTCGGCTTTTGCTGCCGCGGCGAGCCACGCGCCGTCCATTCCTGGAAGTCTTTTAAATGTTTTTCTCTGAGCTTGCGCCGTACCTCGGCAAAGCCGTCGGCCATCTGCTTGAAGAAGTCGGGGTCTTTGACTTCGACCACCACAGAAAACATGTGGACGTTGCAGAATCGAACCGCGACTTTGCCGCAGATCTGGGCTCGGGACTCGTCGTATCGCACCACGAAGTCCGCCGCCATGCGGCCGAGTTGTCGGATGCGGAGTTCGTCCCGTCGAGGGTCGGGGCCGGTATCGGTGGCCTTCTCGATGTCTTTGGTTAGCTCCACCCATTTCTGTTCTAAGCGCTCCCAGTAGACGGGGAGCCCCGAGTCCCGGTTCACAGGAGCCCAGTACCAGGCATACTTTTTGTTGCCCTTCCATAATCGTTCACCGCTGAAGCGGCGGGCGTGCAGAAGCCAGGGTGACAGCATCCGAGGGCCGCGCCCGAAGACGGAGGCGGTGTTGAGGGTGATGGAGGGTTTGAGCAATTGATGCTTGTTTAGACCTCGCATCCAAACATGATTGTTGCTGTCGGTGGAAACGTGGAGATGTGGTTCATCCCAGGACACTTCCCTCCAGGTGATGACGCCTCGATCTCCGACGTGTGACCGGAAGCTCGCGGGAGATGTCACCACGGCCACCCAGTGCAGCGGGTATGTCTCAATCTCCTCGGGCAGGGGGCGGGATTGACTCCCTCCGCCTCTGACAAGGATCGATTCGTTCAATTGCGAGGGAAAATTTGGATGCTGGACGTAGATCTTGGCGCGTCCGTTGCTTCCGAACATAGCCTGAAACTCTTGCTCCCACGCTCCCAGTAAATACCGGGGTGCTACCACCAAAAAGGCCCCTTTGCGGATTTTCACCTTCGCGGTAGGGCTCCATTCGTTGCAGGGACACACGACATTCCATTGATCTTGAGTGGGGCACACGTCGTCCGGACGGTGGGAATTCGGGGCCAAGTGGCGGGTACCGTCTCCCCTATGGATGCTGTTTTCAATGTCGAGGCGACAGTCCCGGACGCTTGCGTGGTACCAGAACCGTACCCACGTCATGGTGGTTTTCCCCAAGCCCGCTGTGGACGCGTTGACGCACAATCCACATTCGTCTTGCTTCTCCACCACCCGCAGGGCGATGAGAAACTGGAGCGGGAGGAGGGGGCGGTCGATGCCTCGGACCCGAAGACAGAATGTGTCCATCGGCAGGGCACGTATCTCCGGGAGGGTGATGTTTGGCAGGGTTCCGAAGGCTCTTGCGTGGAACTCATTGTTCCCCACGTTGACCTCAAGGGTGTCACCGTCGCGGATCCCACCGGAAAAGTTCAGGCCGGGTTCGATGCGAATGCCCATGTGGAGATCTGGTGGCGTCCAACGGCGCATGGCGTTGTCATCCAGCCTCGTCAAGTCTTCGCGACGCCTTCTGCCGGCGGCCTCGTTTCGCCGTGGAAGGGGGTCGTCGGAATCGGATGATATGACGATAGGGGACCGTCGTGCATGATCAGGTGGGGACTGACCCGGGGAGCGGCGCACACGAGTACCTCCGTGGGAAGAACGGGGGGTCCTTGCCCTGCCAATGCTCACCACCCCGTCGGCAGATTGTACGCTCAAACCGCGTGTGACACCCACGGTCACGTGGTCTGCCGGACCCTGGAAACGTCCGCCATCTGCCTGTTGGGGCCTCGAGGGGACGGTTCCGTCGTGGCCATGGCGTCCCGAGCGCCGACCTGGAGAGATATGGGGATCTGGAGATGGAGATATGTCGATCACGGGTTCGCCCGTCTCGGATGTCAGCCGGCTACAGTAGCTGGCTCGAATTTGTGTCGCACGCTTTGATTTGTGGTGGGACGACTGTCTTTTATGGGTAGGGGTGGCGTCCGCAATCCTTGAAGGCCGGGCTTCTGCCCTGATAGCGTGACGCCTGCAGTCTCCCACTATAGCGGCGCTGCTTGGGGGACCCCTTTTGTCTGTCGTCAGTTCATATGTGGAGGCTCTTGCGGTTTCTCCGTCGGAACTCGCGTCGTCCCTGGTCGGTTCGTTGGTATCGCTCGTGGTCCGTTCGTAGGCTGACGACTCTTCGCAATCGATTTCAAGAGCCGACGCTTCACGGCCGGAGAAGTGCGGCCGCGTTCTTCGGACCTGCTTGGTGGGACGAGTGTCCAGATCGGAGAGATCCCGTCGGCGTTTCCTGCGCGTTGGGCGGCCACGACACCAGGAGGCCATGTCGAACCACATCTCTATCGCCCTTCTAAGCGTCAAAGCCTCTGGGAGGATGTCGCCAAATCGTCTCAGAATATCATCTTGTTTCTCCGCCTTCTTCTCTTCATACCGTTCGGGGCGACCACGTCGCAACTCATCAATGGCATCCGAGATGGCGGTGAGGAACGCCGTCTGGTCTGGCCCAGATCCATTGCAGTTCCAGCCCGTGTGCCCGATGGAGGTTGGCCAGTCTGGTCGATGAGGCGGTCCATTCTGTTGTCGCTCGGGGGTTGCAGGGAGCGATTGAACCATGTTCGATGGTCACTCAAGGATGGCTCCCAAGTTTGGCGAAGAAGAAGTGATGGTCACGGTGTTGGGGAAAGAGATGGTTGAGGCCACCCAAGGGAAAAGGTGAGCTCGAGGAGGCCCAAGGAGGAAGGGTCGACATTTTTTCTGCAGTCGAGAAGGAGGGGTAGGATCGTGGTAGTGGGATAACAGCACTTGCGACACGGTTTGCGATGTCGAGAATGGAACAGGACGCGAATCGAGGTCCACGACCGACACCTAGGAATTCTCTTGAGATTATTGACATCGTTCGACTGATTACCTCCGGCGCAGTTAATTAGCAGGTGAAATCGCCTTCGCATGATCGGGTTGGCGACCGCTCGAGATATGGAAGTGGGTGGTGAGGTTTCGAGGATGCCAACGAGATGAGAACTAATTGTTTGTTGCCTAATGCGGAATTAGTGTGCCAAGCATGAGGGGCAAAGACGACACCTCGACAACCTCGACCTTCTGCCATCGTGTAGACCTTGTTGAGACACCCTGTTCGTCCGCATTCTCCAGAACAAGCGGAGAGTGTGAACTACTACTTGAGTCATACTTGAAGAGCGAAATGTTAAAGCCTTGCGTCCGGACCCCAATAAGGTCAGCCTAGAAGGCATTATGCACGTAGACGAGGCGTTTTGATTCGCCAGACTTCAGCACACGGTGAGCCCGCCCAGAAGGCCCGCTCCCGCCGCGGACTGTATATGATTATTCTGCGCACTTGGAATTCGTTTGCAGACCTACTGATCGAGAAATTCTTCCTTCCTTGTGAGACAATGCTTAGCACTCGCGTTTGACGACCATTTACTAAAACTTGGCTGTTCAAGCCTTCGAACACTAAACGCTATAAACAAAGAACAATGGGTGCATCCTTTTTGGCTTCCGCTGCGACAGTCTCTGGAAGCGTTGCTGCAACCCAAGTCTTTGTCACTCCAGACTTAATCGAAGCAATTCTACTGCACCTCCCTTGGCAGGATATCTTTGTGGTGCAGTCTGTGAACGAAATCTTCCGATCAGTGGTCACAAATTCTCCGACACTGCAGAGAATCATGACTATCGACCTGCTACAAGTCCCAACTGAATGGCCTGACGCCTCTCTTATTTCACCGCTGCTACAAAAGAAGAGATTCTCGTGGGGACTATTCAATGGGCGCGGTAACACAACTTGGGATGTGTTTTTAAGTGGCCTGGTATTACGGCTAGAATATGAGATCTGGGGATTCTGGATGTGGCGTCAGCCCTGATCGCACTATAGGAATCTTACCACGTGGACATGAACACAGTGTTCATGTCGACGAATCATGGAAGCTTATGAGGCTCACAGGTATCCCCGGGGTCGTTCCAATTAAGGTTGATATTAGACATCTGTGCTTGATGGACGACTGCGTTGTGACCTGCGGTTGGTATCGTGACGTAGTGACATTAGATGCCCAGGAAGCACCGATGGGTGACCTCTCAGAGGTGCTTTGTGAACTTGACAGCAGGTCATACGAAGAACACTGGCAGCTCTGGCAAGGTACACGGCACGGCGCTAAGCTCAGGGATGTGATGCGTGCCAAATGCTTGAGAGGTGATAGTCGGGTACGGTGTCGAGCTTGTAAATCATGGGATGAGTGGATTTAGGTCGCCACTGATGTGGATGTCCGCGAACAATTTGAAAAGATCTCAATTGGAGTTTCTTAAATCTCTGGCGGAAAGTTCCTTCCGGGAGCTAAATAAAGAGTCGCAATGGTTCAGAAAGTATCGAGAGCGGACGAAGATTTTTATTCCAGACGTGCGCATAGAAGGGTAGGGCGGTTGAAGGCGAGATTATACAAGCTGGCACCGTCTTTGCTGTGGTAATTTTTATAGTAGGGAAAAGGTCTCCCCTTTGTCGCAAGCTCCGCACTTTTTCAGTAGATGTTTAAACGATGGCGACTGTACCAGTAAAGAGGATTACACTACGGAATTATGATTGACAGCACATCTTTAATATATATTACTTGTCTTCGCCGTCTAACTCCGGTTTGTGAGACGCTGAGACGCGCTTCATAGATTCTTCATTGGCTAGGTCTCGCCACCGAAAGGTCTGTGTTTTCCAAAACCTATCGCGCAACTCAGGGAGGTACGTACTGAACGTCACCAACACAGTAAGAAATAATATCCTCGAGGATCGGGCGCTAGTAGAAAACTTCATACAAACCGCCATTTTCCGTTTTGAACAATCGCTCACCTTTCTCCTTTTACTTCCTGTCACCGAGCGACACGAATACATTCTCCTCAACGCATTTAGCCAGGCCACTCGAGAACTTCCTCGATGCCATTGTCCTCCTCGTAGCACTCTCCATCAGCTGAACATCCTCCACACCCTGCAACGCCACGCCAAAATGGGCAAATAGGACATCTGAATTGTTGCGAACGTCGAAGAAGACCTTGGGAATCTTTTCGTCCTGAAGAATATCTTTTAGCGTCTTCCCTTCAACCCCTGAAGTATTAAACGCTTGCGCACCTAAAATAGGTACGTCGATGAGATGGACCCGTCTGGTCGGAATCCCCGTATGATCAGGAGTGTGAGGATGGAAAGGGAGCCTTCGCGGCAGAGGTCTACGCCTTCGAGATCGATGTACACAGTTGGTGAGTATGGGACCGGCGGTGCATGGCGGAAGGCGAGCCAGTCAACTAGGCTACTAATTTGCTCCGTGGTATTAACGACGTTTACTTCTAGGGCGTTCTTCATACTGTACAGTGGCTAAGGAGGGGTTGACCTGTCCCCCCGTCCAGCAGTTGATCGTCTGCTGTGGTCCAATTAATCTCGCCCCCTAACATTGTTTGCCGATAGCTTGTTGCGAGCACTCCAACCACCACCGTAGTGTCACCTTGATGGATCAAAAGGCTCTTTTGTTTTGCAGGAGCCTGGTCCTGCACCTTCCATGAATCCGTTGATCCTCCCTAAGCGGTACGACCCTGGCCTGGACAAACGGCCTTCGATGTGAAAGCCGACAGATGCACCGGGGAGAAATGAAGCTCCTGGAGGGCCTCAGTAAATGGAGTACAGGATCTAGTCCCGGCTGGTTGGCCAACTCGACCCAAACAAGCAGCCAATCACAAGCATCGGGGAAAAAGGCGCTGGCCAATTAAAATGCAGCTCGATGGTGACCAATGAAGTTTTTAGTAGTCACGTGCTCCTCATAGATACCCCAATCTCGGGGCTCGGTTTTGACCACACGAAAACCGAATGATTTGATTTGGGCAACGACGACAAGGACGTAGATAGAAGCGGGTCACTCCTCGGAAAGTGTCTTGAGCGCGGATCGCTGGCTCGACGCGTCGCTGAAGGACCAATTCGGTCAGGGTTGTGTATGACCGAGTGTCTCGCGGGTCCGCCAATTGCATCGCCAAGTCGAAAGGTGGTCGGAAACCGGGTCGAATCTGCCTCCCGTTGGTCGCAAATTCAATTCTCCCACCATCCTGTGGACCGTTGGGAGAGGCGCCGCGGTTTGACGGAGCCAGGGAAGGGGTGGACCCTACCACTCCGCCGCGAGGCAAATCTGTGAAACCTATGGGCGATCTTCAGTGAAAGGCGTGGTCGGCTCCGTCAGATCTTACTGTCCTGTTGGCCCCTCCAATGAAGTTGCGACTCTTGAAACTCGGGTACTGTACGCTTGACAGGACATCCTCGACGAGGGGCTAACCGCCTCGCAGGTCAAGAATCAAAGGGCGGGTCGCATGGCGGCGACTGGTTTGCTGCGTTGGGGGGATGGGGGTGTTCCATTGGGTTGGCCAGTCTGTGGATCAATCACGCCGACAAGCCTCGATGACGATAATGCTGGGGACCCAATTCACACCGGGCTGTTCCGCGCCTTGTGATGGGAGATATTGACCACCGAGTGCTTCGTGCCGCGCTCACATTCCAATCGAGCGAGGCCGAAGACGTCCGAAGGACACCGTGATCAGCAGCTGTTTCTGAAGAGATCAAAAGGGGCAGCCGCGAAAAGCCAGCGGGCCACTTGGGCTGATTGGTGGTTCGAGGAGCCTACTGGCGGCCTTGGCCAATACCGTCGGCCAATCGACCGCGGCTCTTGCCCTGACCGGAAGGAAAGAACACGCTTCTCGACGTCCTGAGTCTCTCTCGGAGGGGCGGGGAGGCGGGAATTTCGCCCTGGACCGAACCGGTGAACAGGGTCAACCCCTTCCAGCCCGTGTGGCAGGCGCAAGCTTTCGGGCCCGATATGGCTACGATATAAGCCCATGTGAAAAGAGCGCTGCGTATAAATTCTCTCCTCCTCGACTCCTGCGAGAAACCACTCTCACATTTCCCCACCTTTCCCCACCCTTTTCAGAGAAACCCTCTGGTTTTACATACGTCCTCGGCGCTGTGTCCACCCGATCCCGCCCTTTGGAGGTTGTCGGTGCAGAACACGTAGCGCGAGGTTCAGTGGAAAGACGACTCGCTTCCTCGGAGCTGCTCCCGTCCCTGAAGCAAATCAACCACTCTCGGTCCCGGTGGATTTAAAAAAAATAAAAGGGAAGAGCAGGACGTAGGTTTTCCCGCTCAACCAGAGCCGGAACCGCACCCACGAGTGGCTGCTTCCATGGCCCCTATGATGACAGTGAGTTGGCAAGCGTGCAAGGACGAGGCTGGGCTTCTTTTAATTAACATCGAAAGGACCCTCACAACGGGACAGAACTAGACTACTTGCCACCCATATCTCCACATCCCGGCTACTATATTGCTCCTCAGCATTGCCCCCTCCACCGTGCTGCTCCTCTGAGACAGCGAGCCGCCATCGCCTGCAAGTACTGCCGAAAGAGAAAGGTATGTGATGGATGGTTTTAATCGTGAGTCCACGGACTAATATTCCTTCTCCAGATTCGATGTTCCGGCTACGATAGTTCTCCGGATGGCCGTTGCCAGAATTGTGTTCGGTTCAACCAGCAATGCTTATTCCACCCGGTCTCCTCACAGGCCGTCTTTGTTCCGGCTTCTGCTGTCTATGGCCCTGGGGTTGCGAGAGCCCCCGTTGCTGGTCGGTCTGATAATCACCCACGCCAAAATGGAGAACAGCCTTACATCCGTGACGGAGAACAGCCCGTGCTCTATGGTGCTCATGGACAGCCACTTGGTCCTGCTGGCCCACATGGTCAACCTCAGTACAGCTATCTTCCGGCGCCACGCCACAGCCATTATCCTCCCCAGCCATATCCTTACCAGGCGTTCCCGTACTCTCCCGCGGCCGGAGCACCCTACGATGCACATGGGCAGGCACTGCCTGCCCCGTATGATGCATGTGTCGGTCTCAAGCGTCCCTATCCTGATGATGACCCCCACAAGAAGATTTCTCATGCGCCCCAGTCTCCCCACCCCAACGTTCGTGCTCGCCATGGTACATATGACGGGCGTGCCGACGGTAGTGGCAGTTATGCATACCCCTCCCCACCGAGTAGAGCGCCAGCCTCACCCATGACCTCCACGCAGAACTCCGATTCGGTTCCCGGTGACACAAGCAATCAGACGCCGCTCAATCAGGAGCACCTCGTCAACTCCTCCGACCATGCCCGAAGGGCCATGGAAGTCAGGAACCTGCTGGCAGAAGTTTCTCCTGGCGGGGCCAAAACGAACGTCGCGGAAACGACGGTGGAACGCTGAGCGGGATCGGCCGGGAGGTCGTGGAGATGTGGACTCGCGTAGTCAACCCCTCCAGATATAGAACCATCTCCAAGGACAGTAGTTTCTCTTAGCCCTTGATGGATTTCCAAGTCCGCATCTCTTTAACCGGCCCCAGGCGTGGGAGGTCATCTTCCTGTCTTCATGATATATCAGTGTACGAAATCCTGTTTTTTCCGAGTCTGCCGCGCCTAAAGTCTCTGGAATACCCAGCTCCCAGACGCTTTTGATCTTTCCAATGCTTCGCCTTGCCAGTGAAACCCGGAACGTACGGTCGTGGCGTCTCAGATTCCATACACTTCATATGCAGAAAGATTGCTGCAGTCTACTTCAGTAGAGTCCACCCCCGCTTTTGGTAGACGAGAACGGCCTCCGGAACGTCAACACCCTGGCTAGAATCGCCCGATGGAGAGTCCGAGACATAAATCTGTTCCAAAGGCCCAATGGGAGTGGTGTCTGCCGTGGAATCCACGTGCCCGGAGCGCCAACGAAGTTGGAGGTTCGCAGTCCTCCTTCAAGCTCCTTATTTTGGTGGTCAACGGGATGCTGCGGCGACTGGGTGCTCCTCCTTTTGATCCTCATGGATATGTTCAAGCTCTCCGCCCCGTGTTGGGGTGCACCGCTGCACAGGCTTCGTCGTATATGATCAGCGGTCGCTTGCCGAAATTGAGGGGGAAGATCGTCGTCAGCGCATGTTACGCCTCAGGTCATACTAGCCAAGCCGGAACTCTAGTCCCTCACTCCAGTTATGATCACAGTAGTCGACAAAGGCGAAGGATGGGTTCGATTCTGGGTCATCTATCGTCTGAACGTTCTAACTGGCTTAGGTCACTTGATTGATCTAGCTCATGTGACGACTATGGCCGGGCAATCTTGGGGTCAACTGTGTTTTCTCATTTTAGGTCACACTGGCCGACACTAGTGAGCAAATAAAACACGAGCCACTACATCCTTGGAGAGAACATGACATGCTCCTCTCAAACCCCCATTCCGTCCCCTGAACGCCGAGGGTCCTCTCCCAAGGTCGATTCGCCTGGCAGGGCGGACCAATCACGCGTCACACATTTCTCTCATTTTGCAACCCACATCGCACGGAGACAAAGGACTGGGGCGTTTTCAGCGTGGCGTTTTTGTCAACATCGTCCGGTCCGAGAGTAATGTTCGTGTCGTGTCCCCGAAGAGTGCAGCGCATGTCTTCGGTGACGGCCACGCTGCCAATGTTGATGTCGTCGGCATAGCCGCAGGAGAGTTTTGAGAACTGGTAGGGGAGGCCGTCTGCAGGGACACCGCAGGTGTAGGTAGTGGCGCCTTTGAGCACCACATGGACGACCGTATCGGCGGCAGCGAGACTCAGTGACTTCTTGGTGATGACGGCCAAGCTCCCAGCGTAGAAGGGGGCTACCGCGACGAGGTGGACGAACAAGCGTGAGAGACGTGAAGGCCTCATGACGGCCATGCAGCAGCGGGGGGGGGAAGGGGTTTTCCTAGAGACTTGGGATTGAGGCAAGGATGTGGTGGGGAGGAAGCTCCTTCTTATGACGACCCGCGGCGGCGGAGCGGCTGGTGCGAGATCGACCAAGCTTCTATGACTCGCGACTCAGAGAGGAAGATCGAAGATAGCCCTGGTGGCTGAACTGGTGGAAGAGGTGGCCTCTGAACATGGTCGTCGCGAACGGTGCACCCTCGAATCGCATTGGTTCGTATATCAATACTGAGTTCCGTCGGTGTCGGGGCGACGTAGCGTGGCAGCATTTTGCGCAACGGTTGCCGGATGGTCCAAACCTCAACGAAAACGACTTCTGCAAAGGGTAGATCTCGCGTGTGCTGAAACCAGCCTACAGTACATACCACATTACGACTTTATTTCACCGGAGCTAGTAGGTACTGTACGCTTCGCCCGAATATAGAGCGTAGTTAGCTACGAATCGTCATTTAGGTTGCTCACTCCACTCTTTCGCATTCTTTCGTCAAATATTGTAAAAAGTATTTGTAAAGATGTCTAGGAGTGTTAGATAGGCATTTCACAACAACCTAATTAATGATTCACGAACGTAGAGGCGCCAGCTATCCCTCTCTTGGAAAGCGTGTCTAAGTAGCGGCGTTGGCATTTGGTAAGGAAAGAAACCCAACTTGTACTGTATCCGGAAGGAACAGTATTTATGTCGAGTTTCGAGGGCCCGTTTCCGTGGCTGTTCTCGTTGGCACATTTCCCTTTCCACGTACCCTCGTTTTTGGTCCCGTCTTCTTCTCTCGCCCGTCTAGCTGAGACTTCCATTCCCGTGGTTTCGGTAAAAAAAAAGCCTGTCACCAGAACCTTCCTGTTCGACCTCGTCCATCCCTCGCTCCATTGGAGGGAACCCTCTTCGAAATGCCGTCCACCCCTCATCGGACTTGGGTCTGCTCGACGCTTATATGACGGGTATCTCTGTGGACTGACGCCCGTGTCCCCGGTTCACCACCCTCGGACTCGGCGTCGTTTTTACGCACAGCAAGGAAAGTGCAGATGCGCTCCCCGATGCAATTCCTCGCGCTCGTCTCACTCCTCAGTGGCCAAGCGCTGGCCGCCTCGGTCCACAGAAATTTGGGTCATAATGTCTACCACCGTGACTCTGGTGGCTACATGTGAGGCCGGCGCTCCTCGCAAGTCAACCTCGACCAGGCTAACCGGCTGATTCCACAGAAACCGCACCGCGGCGATCACCGATGCGGACGTCCACAAGCTGTCGGCGCTGGGTGTCGCCTCGGTCGGGGTCAACTCCTTCTCTCCCAACGGTGCGGCTTGGCTGGGGAAGGACGGGCCGTACCGGAACGAATTTCTCAATGTGGCGGACGAAGACCTGATCCTCGTCATCTGGGGACCGGCAGGCTCGTGGATCAACGTCAAACAGCCTACCCTGACGGCATCCCTCCCCGCCGGCACCAGCCTCTGGGTCTCTTTCGTCAACGGAGCCTCCGGGGCCTGGGTCGCCATCTACGCGGACACCCGACTGGTCAACGGCCAGGCCTCCAACACTTGGGGGGAATTCACCTTCGGGGCGGAAGGCGTGGTCGACGTCTCCCGCGAAGTCAATATGGACGGCCACCCGATGAGCATCGCCGGTCCCGCCTGCACGACCGACATGGACACTTGCGTGTTCTTGTGCACCACGGGCACTGCCTGCACTACCGACTACGTCCTTCACAACTGTGAGAACGGATCGCAGCCGGGGGCTCGCTACGGGATCCACGAGGGTGCCCCGAGCGGTGGCTGCGGTGGCATGGGCGCTTCCGCGACGCTCCACACTGTGCTCAGCTAGACCGTATCCGCCAAAAAGGGTGAGGGGTCCCTTCTCATGCGGTTGCCTGGCAGTTGAGGTAGAATTCCACTCTCTTTGTGGGTGCGGATGAGGGGGAATGGTATAGAAGCCGAATCAGGCCGAAATAGCTAAGGCGGTCGACGGAAACATCGGAGTACATGGGATTCATTGAGCGCGGGAGGAGTGCTTACAACTGTAAAGCCACGTTCGACGACCTTGGTATGGCGAGCTGCCACGCATTCTTCGTCTGCCGTAGAAAGACAGACGTTTTCAATACGCTATTAGGGCGTCTCCCAAGCAGCGACCAGAATAACTTCCCCCCGGCCAATGATATGCTCTTTTGCCTACTGTTGTGGGTGGACGGAAAAACAGGGAGTGCTGAAGGCTTGGCAGACTGATCCTGCGGAGCGAAGTCGATTGGCTACCAGCGCACCTCAGCGAAACACAATCCGTGACTTTGGTAGTAGACTTGGGGCGCATTGTGGGTAGGTAAGGACCAACTTGTAGCAGCTTTGCGCCTGAATAAGGCCCTCAGGGCCCTGTTCTAGCTACACTCCCTCATGGGACGTCTCTCTAGGAGAACTCTCCAGGGGCTCTCAGGAATGCCCCAAGTGATGTTCAAATTGCCTCTGTTCTCTTGTCTATATATATTTGAAGCTCCTTGATCTAGAACAGCCGAGTTAGCATCAATAGGAGTTCATAGAGGAGTCCTAGTCAAGCACGCCTAGTGTAATACCGCGGATCACAGAGGCCGTGCCACTGCAGCAAGATATCATTCTGCCAAGACCGCCACAAACAGCTACATCTCACACAGACACGGTCTCTCAGTCCGTCCCTGTCGGTGTCGCAGGTCAGATTCGGAGACAACCTGAAGAATGTCAGTGTGTTGGGCCGGAGCTGCATGAAATATGTGTGTGGTTGTGTTTCTATGCATGTTGCTCTCCGCGAGATTTATAGCACTCTAACTTTACTTCTTTCTAGAAACCGTTGTTGCTGTCAGCTAGAGCCATAACCCTACCACCACCAATATCTCTCGCCTGGGTAGTCAGACCTTCTGAATCCCTCCGTCTCCTTCGATCGCAAACGTCGAACCCTCATCGTCTTACAATTGGGTCGAGGCGTTTCATGCTATACCTACAACAATTGCAATTGAGGGCTTGACGTTCTCAAAGAGGAGCTGAGGAAGGGGACACTTCGAGGATACATTTTCAAACTCTAAGTTGAGCAGAAGTTAGAACACCATCTATCACAAGCCATTGAGCCAGGCTCGTGCAGCTGCGGCTATCTTATCTTCCTGTTGCTTTGGCCTCGCGAACCCCCCATCCTCTTCTCGTTTTGGCGTTGTAGGATACCAGCTTAGGAGATCTTTTCCATGCACAGCCCTTACCATGAGTAAAGACGAACCAGAAGGCCACCTCAAAAAATCCAAGAAGTAGTTCGATTGCAACACCTCAAAAGCCTGTTTCTCGTCCAAACTTATTGACCACTGCTTCTCTCTGTGTTCCCATTTAGTGGCTGTAGTGGAAAAGAGGTACTGTATCTAGTTCTTACAATTTCTCGACAAGCTGAACGTGTGTCTTCTTGTCCACATTGGAGGCATACCATGACCACGTTAGTCGGATTTGGGTTTCGTCCTCCCGTTGATATATGAATTCCTGCAATCTAGGCAACGGTGGCTCTTTCTCGCTGGCACTCCAATGTTATTAGAGCGAGCGTGAAAGGGACCAATGCAGGTTACTCACTAAGGAATCCGCACACACTTTTGTAGTGCTCCATCGATGCTGAAGAAATGCTCATGACCTTGACCGTCCTGGAGCTTGATAACGAACACGCACCGCGAATCTGGGTTTCTGGGTACTTGAAGTAAATCATACACACTGCCAGGGCTGGAGCAGATTAGGGAGGAGCCTTGATTGGCAAGGCTGGGGTGAGGCTTACTATATCGGTGTTACGTTCGGATTGACATGTTGCACTTCGTTGCGACCATCACGATAAGCCACCTTTAGATTTGCCGACATGGTTAATTGTACGGTAGGATCGGTCAAGTACTGTGCAGTATTACTCAGGTCGCTAATGTGAGGTCTTTTGGTGTTTCGAAAAAGGGCTACGTCGATCGAACAGGTGTTGGTGACAAGAAGCCTGTGATGTACCGTATTACGCTACAGCAATAAGCACTCCTCCCTATTATCGCACTAGTTTCATTTCAGCCCTACTGATGCCAGAAGGGGCCATCCTAGATCATCCTTAAAATTATTTTGAGCTCCACATTTCGATCCATAAAGACCTAGAGAAGTCCTATATAAGTAAAGCGCGATGCATAGAGCACTAATCGGCTCAACTAAGTTGCCGAAAGAGTTTGGTATTTTACAAAATGTATACGTTTTTAGAACTCGTGGCTTCTACGAGAATTTGTGCCTATGACGTAGTGTCATAGAAGCTTGAACCGCCGAGCACATTTTGGGATTTTAGTGACTATTGCCTAACCACGTGACCCTCCTTGGGTTGGAAGGTAAAGCGAAGCTCCTGCGACCTGTTGACTCTCCGTTTGGGATAAGCCAGCATTAGCTCGCGACAATTCCGCGACTGTTACAATATCGTTTCTGGCTTTCAATATTCTAAGGATACAGTACATCCGTCACGTCAGTTTTGCCCTCCAGCTGAGACAGATAATAGGCGAGCGGGGGCGCGTCTGGCTTTTACGTCGTCCTACATCATGGCCAATAGGAAGTTTAATCACGTGGCCTTTAGTGGCTTTCCCTGTCTAGTGCTGGTGCCTGAATGGTCGTAGGTCGACCACATGGCGACGGTAACTTAGTAAGCCTATTTGTAACAACGCATCTTTAGGTTTCCTTCTAATACTTCAGTCTACGCCGGTACTGTACAGTACCACGGAAACGGACAATGTTACAATTGGATTTCAAGTTACCGAGGCCGCTCAGTGCTACATATGCTACGAATGGGTCCAACTCCAAGGGTTGCCCCGTAAATTTAAAGAGGGTCGCTTCCCCAGAAGACGGGCTGTAGGTCGCCGATTCCCCGCGGTTGAGGGAGAAATGGTTCCACCCTATTGCGGCCGGATGGCACTGGAGGCAATGTCGTTCCCCTCAGGTCGGATCGGTGACGAATTTCGCCGAGCGACCAGGGCTTGCGGTGACTCGTGGTGATACCAGCGGGCGAGTCGACATTCAGGGGTCTGCGTGTGGAAAGGGAAAGGCATTGACGAACGCCCGAGACTTTCGGTAACCCGCCCCGTGCGGAGATTTCGAGAACGTTGGTAGTTAGCAGCTATGCCCCACCTCGTTGGCCAGAGAACGTCGTCGACATCTCCCAACATGGGATGAACGGGGATTCCATGCAATTAGACCCACCTTGGCGTCAGAGGAGACAGGAAAATCTCGAGTCACAGAAAGAAGCGAGTTCGCAAAGAGCAAACCAGTCACGGATCTTCCAGTGCGCTAGACCACTCGAGCCCAATAGCAGCACGAGGCGACCGTCCGGGTCCTAGGACCCAATCTCACCCACCCCCACCCCCCCCCCCCCCCCCCCCCCCCCCCCCCGGGCGAACCAGACTACCAGACTTTCCCTGGACCAAGGGCACCCGATAGAGCGAATGGCAACCGGCGAGAGGTATCACGGTCTAGAGTGACCGGTTGAACCCCCAAATTGCTGGTGGTGGCGGTGGGACGACGTATTAAGCGCATCCGTTGCATGGGGCCACCTTGAAGGCCGAAACTTGAAATAAGTACAGTACGGGCGAAGCAGCGCGATAACATCCCTTCTCCGCCCAAATCACTTCGCCAGCAATTCAGTATTTCCACTGTCCCGCCGTCGTGCATATCAACCACTCCTCTCCGCCGCCAACGCCATCTGGGAGCGAGATGAAGCTCATCCGCCTCCCTCTACTGAGCCTGGCCTGTCTACTCGACCGTGCGGCGAGTATCCCATTCATGACACCAACGGGCCCCCACGTGCTCCCGCTCGAACCCAGCGCTTCTTCTGACGAGCGGATCTGTCACAGGATGGCTGCGGGCGCCTGGCGAACGAACGTGGTCCTCACCGGGAGCTCTCAGACTTATGAGCTGTGGATTCCATCCGACGGAACTTGGTACGACCTGGGAAGGGTATGGTGCGTTGGGTCGCCCGATTTCACTTGCGATCATTGCAACGTGATCACGATAGACCATGTTGAGATCTCGGCGGCGAATGGCCCGTGCACGTTTGTGGGGGACGCCAGTTGGGGTCAAGCGACTCGGGTCATCACGGAAGGACGGCCGTATAGGATGGGGCCTCCCCAGAAGGCCCTGTTTGCGAAATGTGACTATGACTCCGGTGTTGTCCACGTCGAGCGGTGAAATCAGATAGCTGTAACGGCGATCATCCGGCTCACCCTCGTATATCCTGACTCTGAGTTCATTAGTTAAGTTGGCGCTAAATCAGGGTGGCAGGGCGATGAGAAGTAAGCATCACCTCATTCTCTTGTCGAACAAATTTAGCCGCAAAGGCGACATGTGCGCTTGTCTTGATCGCGGCTCGTCACGTCGACCGTACGACCGTATCCGGAAACGCGAACAACAGAAGCAGTGTAAATTAGCTTCCCTCCACCCCGGGGTGAGGGGGAGCGGACGCCTTAGAAGATCAGCGCCTGAGTCAACCCGTCACCAGTTCGTGGCAAAGACGGGTCCGCCTTTGGAAGGCTGTTCTGATGTTAGAACGCCAGGAGATGTTGCCGCAAGCATGATTGGATATCGCCACCATGGGGTGCTCGCTCGGTCTGAATATGAAAGGTGCTTGCCGCTTTTGGGGTGTTGGCTTTGGCGGCGTGGTCCCGAATATGTGTATGAGACACTTCCTGCACCGTTATACGGGCGACGAGGCATATGTATCTGTCGGCCTGTGCTGCGTCGCGGCTGAGCCACCACGCTATGGCTGTGACACTCACGGCACTGTAGCAGTCGCTGGCTCTGAACTTCAAATGCCTTGGGTTGTGCGAGGATAGGCAGAGAGCCAGGGAGGCGAGAGGATCAAGGACAGTCCGCGAATCGCCCATAGGCCCGAAGCTCTCCATTCCTCCTTCCCCTCGAATGGTAAATCTAGCTAGAGATCCCTCTCAAACCGGGACAACGCATCCTCGATGATTCGCTGGTATCCGGACAGACGAGATAGGAAGCGACCAATCAACTCATAAATAGGGACACCACTCACCCCCTATATCACCGGGGGACTCATCTCCCACCTGGCCGTAGCCTGCTGCACCAGAGTTCTGAGACATTCCCAACTCTAGACTCTAGTTATATCCGTCGAGCTTCGTCCTCGTCTGCCTTCAACGGCGTCATGTTGGACTCGCTGATATGGCTGGGTCTCGCCTGCCTCGTCTGGTTCTTGGTCTACCAGGTATTCTTCAGCCCTCTGGCACCGTATCCCGGTCCACTGCTCGCCAAGATCTCGCCGTTGTACAACGTCTACCACGCGTGGAAGAAAGACATCCACCAAGACCTTCAGCGCTTGCATGAGCGCCACGGTCAGTGGTTTCCAGGCAACGACGACGTCTCAAACTGATAACGGCGTTTAGGGGACGTAGTGCGGTATGGACCTGGACGACTCTGCTTTCGTTCATCGAGGGCCAACCTTGGTAGGCAGAGCTCCTGGACCTGTGCCCTGAGGAAACGCTGATGGGCCCGTCAGATATCTACGGTCAAGCTAACGGCTCCCACGCCCTGTGCAAGAGTGACGGATACTGTCCTCATCCGTACTACCCCGAAGAAGATAACACGTTCACCACCACGGATCGGTTCCAGGCCAAACGCCTCCGAGGCATGATCCTGCCAGCCTTGAAGATAGGTCCGATCACTAGCCATGATGAGGATATCAGGCAATGCACTCGAACCTTTGTTCGAACCTTACTGGGAGATCAGGAGTTGGGTCACGACGGATGGGCGGCTCCCGTGGACATCTCCTCGCGAAGTATCATGGCATTTTCCTCATTCCCAGGCCCAATATCCCGCCTGACACGAGATAGGTCTTTTCTACACGATGGACATGATAATGCAGATGATTTACGGTCGTCATTTGGACATGATGGGGTCTCGCCGACACCGTTGGCTGGCACAGGCGCTGCTCGACGGCAACCACTACATGTATTTGTGCCTGGCCTCGCCGACGATCTTCAGGTCTCAGGTCGCCCACTGGCTCGGGTTTCGAGACCGATTCTTCCCGGGTATGGCCCACGAATCCCAGTGGTTTGACGCCATCGCGGCGGAACTCTTTGACTCGCGAGATACGAACCACCCGGCCAGCGGCGGGATCGTCGCGGCCATGCGACAGGCCGTAGACGAAAAAACCGGTCTTAGTTTCGAGGGGGAGGTCGTGAGGAAGGAAGCTGTCATGTTGGCGCGCGCCGGTGGGTCCATACGCTCCCTAAACGTGGGCCCGAGAGACAGATTACTGATGTGGGACAGGCGGCGACACGACCGCGGTGGCTCTAGCCGCCTGCTTCTTCTACCTTTCGACCGACGCCGTGGTTTACAAGAGGGTAACCGGAGAGATCAGGTCCACTTTCGATTCCATGGACGATATTTTTCAGACCGACAACTTGTCTCGCTGCGAGTACCTGATCGCGTCGATCGACGAGGCGATGCGTCTCACGCCCCCGGTCCCAGGATGCCTCTGGCGGAAGGTGGAGCGAGACGTCATGGTCGACGGGCGACTCGTGCCGCGAGGGACAGAGGTCGGAGTCTGTCAGTATGCACTTCATCGGTGTCACAACCTCTTCCCGAACCCAGATCATTTTGAGCCGCAAAGATTCCTCAAAACCACCGACCACGATGTCCCTCCAGGGGCCTATACCCCTTTCCAACACGGGCCACGAGCCTGCCCAGCACGTCTACTCGCCCTGAGAGAGCTTCGTTTTGCCCTGGCCCAAGTCTTGTGGCAGATGGACGTGAGGGTTTTCCCGTTGCACGCCGTCAACGCAGTCACGGGCGATTCGGGGGTTGAGTTGAAGATTGAGGATATCTTCAGCTCGAAGGCCAAGGCACAATTTCTCCAGTTCCGCCCACGCTCGGGGCTCGCTGTATGAACGCGGGATGCATACAAAGGCTCTGACTCCCAATGGCAGAGGATGGTGATGACAAGTCCATCTTGTGCTCCTCAAGCGCAATCTTTGCCTCTTAGATGTAGTTCGCGATGTAGATTCTTCTTGCATAGATCACAATCGATTTGGTTGCCATTCGCAAGATGGTTTCGGACTCTGAACAGGAGTTTCTTGGCTTGTTCACCTGCTTCAGAAGATGTCCGGCCGTAGACTTGCAGCAGCAATACGTCGGCTCGGATTGCACGTATGTCGTAGTCATTACTTGTTAATGATTCGAGTAACCTGCGACGACTCCACCACAAACCCCCGTTTCGAAGAGCTCCTCCGCCAAAGGAAGACCCTCGTTCCAAATGAGAAAACGTCAGAAAACGAGGAAGAGACGTCGAGTCTAGGAAGCCCTCACTGGATCTCCACAGTATCTTTCTGGAAGAGAGGGCCGTTTTGGGAAGGCCCCAGCTAACCGGTCCGAGGTCCACTTCGAAGTAATTGGAAAGGATTTTTCTTTCCTCCAGTATATAGCATTGGTTCAGCCTTCTGCAGACTCGCGCGAGGGCAGGTGAATCAAGTAAGCCCGATGTCTGAATGATCACTTCATCGGGCAATTTGAGGAAGGCAGACGAGTCACTGGTTCTGGACATGGCAGAATGCTGTAATTTGGAGAATCAGGACTGCAACTCTCTGTACTCGAAGTAAGGAAGGAAGGTTCGAGGCCAAAGAGTATGATTTATCCAAACTCTAATTTATTTCGAAGTGGGCGTCAGAGAGAGCGGTCAGAGGGAGGTATGCCTAGATGAGTCTCAGTCTTATAAGTACTGAAGTGAGGGGGCTGTATGGCTATGGTAGGGCGTGATCCTCCCATAACCCCAATTGTCCACCACTCAACGAACGAAGAGCTACATGGCGTTGTATCGATCTAGGCCTGCTCGTAAACATTTGTACGTTCACGGATCGGACCTCTGCGAGCTCTATGATATTGACCGCTGGAAAAACCACCCGGCTCGTCTACTACTGAGCTTCGACAGCAATGGAATCAACCTGAGTAATATTCTCAATCTTCTGTTCCTCGATGGTGATGACACTGATATAACCTAGCTATCTAGGGTTTGGTGTTCTGTGGACAAAAAGGCTTCTCGATTACACCGGTCGAATTGTCGCTCGGAAGGGTCCTCGATGGGTTCGCGAATCTGCTCTCGCGGTTGGGAGAAGGAAATTGAGGCTTGAAGCCCAGTTTCAGTCGCTCCTGTAGCTTCTTCGCCACGTCCTTGTGCCCGTGCATTGTAGCCCACCATAGCAGTGTCCACCCATCGTGCGTAGCTCCCTTGTCGAGTAAGAGCTGGACCACAGCCTCATTCCCGTATTCTACAGCCCACAACAGCGGTGTCCACCCATGTCTGTCCTTGCACTCGAGGCCAGCTCCTCTATCGAGCAGCAACTGGACCAGGGCCTCATTCCCGTATTCTACAGCCCACAACAGCGGTGTCCGCCCATCTCTGTCCTTGCACTCGAGGTCGGCTCCTCTATCGAGCAGCAACTGGACCAGGGCCTCGTCCCCGTATTCTACAGCCCACGACAGCAGTGTCCACCCATGTCTGTCCTTGCACTCGAGGCCAGCTCCTCTGTCGAGCAGCAGCCGGACTACGGTCTCGCACCCGTTAATTGCAGCCCGCCACAACGGTGTCCGCCCATCTCTGTCCTTGCACTCGAGGTCAGCTCCCTTGTCGAGTAACTGCTGGACCACGACGTCGTTTTGATAGTGTGCGGCCCACAACAGCGGTGTCCGCCCATCTCTGTCCTTGCACTCCAAGTCGACTCTTCTTTCGAGCAGCAGCCGGACTACGGTCTCGCGGCCGTTCATTGCAGCCCACAACAGCGGTGTCCGCCCATCTCCGTCCTTGCACTCGAAGTTCGCTCCTC